TTTTCATATTTTTTATTTCCTGCATTTGTTGGGCTTTGTGCTTGCTGGAAAGATTCGCTAATTAATAATTAATTAAGCTTACAATTGCCATGCCCACAATGCGCGTTAAGGGGGCCATCAGTTGAGCGCAGGAAATACCCTCGAAAGCATTGAACTGTATTGGTGTTCAATATAATCGATAAAATATCGATTATAAAATAAATTTATCGTTGATTATATTAATATATGAGTTATCTCCAACAGGTTGTTCTAGCAGTGGGAGATACACTCTATAAAGAAGACTTAAGAGCTGCACAGTGGCAGATAATATCAGGTAAATATCGATTTTATTATCGATTATCGATATAATCGATAACTTACATCTCACCTCAACATATATACTAATCCAAGAAAGTTCAGTTTTTCATAAATAACGAATACATGTTGCTAAAAGGCTTTCAAACTTGATCGATATTTATCGATTATAACTCTTAAACTAAAAGTTATGCAACACTCAACATAAACTTTGTCTAGATATGTCGTAAGAGACGTGCATACCAAATTTAAGCTCTATAGCTCTAAGAATTTCAGAGTTCATATAGTCAGGCAGGCGTATACTAAGGCACTCACACTATCTAGTCATTAAATCTGCTAAGAAATATATCTAATAATGCTATAATAGCTTACTAGAGCTTCTATACACACTTACAACTTATAATACGCTCTTCGTCACAGTTTTAAGGGGTATCGAGCATTATATAAAAATCCGGAACTTTCGACTTTGGAAAGTATTCCAATTTTCTAGCATTTTGCAGCGCTTCTTTTGCTGCCAGTTGCTGTGTGCAAAAGTTGCTCAAACTTTGCCAGGAGCGCCAAAAGTTTTAGCACAATGTGTCGTCGCTGCCATTGCTGCTGGCCACGCCCGCCACTGAGTGGGAGGCAGTGGCAGAGGGCGGGGGCGAGAGGCGAGGGGAGGCATAAAAGTTTTTACTGTCGCACTTGGCGCACTAAACTGCAGACACACGCGCCGCTGCACACGAACATGGCCGAGTGGAGCCAGTCAGCCCAAGCGAAGATTTCCCGCTGCTTTAAACAAAAAAACAAGAAATATAAAAGCCGCACGTGTGCACCACCCAAGCACCCAGCATACAAAATAGAGCTGACCTTACGACTGGGCCCTGACCAGCAACGTGTGCAAAAAAAAAAAAAAATATAAATGTCGAGTGGCTGCCGCAAATTGTGAAATTTTGTATACAGTAAACTGTGCATTTTCTGAAAATGCTGGAAAACTGAAAAAGCGCAAAACAATTTTTTATTTAATTGGTGTGCGAGTGTGTGTGTGTGTGTGAGTGTGTTCAAGTCGCAAAGTGGTTTCATGCACCCGTTTGGCCACCCAATTGAGTTTCAAAGTTGCAATTAGAGCAGCTTGAATGGACGACTGCCACTGACCCAATGGGGCATGCCCCCCGAGCTTGCGCATAGGCCATACAATGGAAACAGTTCAGACTGGACACCGCAGCCACGCCCCCATTCGCAAAACAGAAACAATGCGCATCAAAAGAAACAACTCGCAGACCATTTAACTCCAAAGCGAACATTTCATGCCGCAATCAAATGAGAAGTGACTGAAATAATCTGAGGGGGAGTTCGGTTAAGAGTGATGGAGATATGGGAATGGGATGAAAGGAGGGAAACGGAGAGAGGGGGAAATGAAGAGAGAGAGGTTGAAAGAGAGACTGGGAGATACACTAAGAGGCAGACAGAAAAACACAAAGAGAGTTATGGAGACAATAAGAAAGACAGAAGTAGACAGAGAGAGACAGAAAAAGAAGAGTGAGGCAGATAGAGAAAGACAAAAAGAGAGAGACAGAAAGTCAGAGAGATACATAGAGAAAAATAGAGACACACAGACTAACAGTTAGAGAAAGAAAGAGGAGAGAGACAGAAAGAGCTCCCTCAGAGCAAAAGTGTTAGTCAGAGAGGAAGGAAGAAAGCTTCCAGTAGAAGTTAGTGTAGATTCAGTATTAGACTAGAAAATTTAACTCATAAATCATGAAAAACAAAAATTTTAAGTATAGAAAAATGAAATCTCTAAGTTATACCCATTTAATAGAATCTTTACTTAATTTATAATATTATTTATTATATCTTATTATTAAGTTTTTAAATGCAATATCGTATAATTAGTGTCATTCCCATTAATTATTCAATTTACCTTCACAATGAAAAAAACATCAAAGCATATGGTAAAAGTTGGTTAGGGATCTGCCTTTAAGATCTGGGAAAAGAAGAAGCGAAAATTATTGATGAGAGAATATATATGTAAAGATAAAGATACTATCCTATACTATGCTCCATTATAATGTATGCAATATATATACTTTAACATAATTCCAACGATCTACATCTATGCGAAAGACAGACCCCGTTGAATGACTCTGCCTGAAAAGGGGGTTAACCAAAGGCCTTAGCCATTATTTAAGGATTATAGATTGATTGGATTTGTATATCGTATTTAAAACAATAAAAATAATTATTATAATACATTTATATATTTTTAAAATATTTTTTATTAACATAGACATTGTAGTTAAAACAATAATAATAATTATTATAATACATTTATAAATTTTTTAAATATTTTTTATAATCATATTTATAAAGATAATAATTATAATACATTTATATATATTTTTAAATATCTTCTATAATAATATTTATATAGATATCCATATTATACAGTATTTGCATAGTTTATACTATTATGCCAATAATATTCCCATATTACACTTTGTTATGCCATATTACCTACATCAAATATAAACCCGCAAGTTATTCTATAAATAACAAAGGATATTCCTTGAAAATCCTTTTCTAGTTTTACTTTCTGCAATTTGCTTAGTTCGAGCCAAAACTGAAAACATGAAAAATCAAATCGAATTCACTTTTGCCTTTGACTGCAATGCACACGCCCCGCGGACCACCCGCACCACATGCCAGCCCCACCCATGGAGCGATCCACCAAAAGTGTCAAGGGCTTAACGATGAGCTCCCCTCAATGCAAACGCCAGCAGCTACCACATTGATGGCGATGATGATGACGATGATGATGATGGGGATGATGACGATTTCTTTCGATGATTTCTTTACACGACATTTAATTGAGAAATAATTGAATAGGTCGTGTGAAGTGTTTGTTTGGCATTTTGCGTGGGGCGGAATGGGAGCGGGGGCGGAGGGGTCTTAGGTAGCGCCCGGTTCGGTGCGCGCGTCGCAATGAAATTAGCTTTGTCAAACGCGGCTGACATATGCACCGGTTGAGCTTGAATGGTGCGGAAAGATCTATTGCAGCGTGAAAACGACACAGCGAGTTGTTAATGAAGTAGTCACAGTCAACGGAGAAAGTCACCTATGTTCCCCCTCCGTTCCCCCTGCCCCCCGATCCCCTTCAACAACTGCAGTCAAAGGCTGAGGAAATAATAAAAAGAGAAGTTGGATTCACGTCTGATTGCAATGCACTCGGCAAATTTGCCTGAGGCCACGAATTGCGCAATCAGCCGCAAGCTTATAATTGCAGTTGCAATTTAGACGACCCCATTGTCGTTAAGGGAGAGGGTATCTAATATGAGTGGAGGAATACGAACATCAAATTCAAATTGAAATATCTACTAATTTGTGAGAATGGTAAGGATGAGAACGAAAGAAGACTAGGCAAGAGTCAAGACTTAAGTATAAGATTGTAAAGAGAGAAGAAAAGAGGCAAGACTTAAGGATAAATACGGAAAGAAAGTACAGACGAATCAAGGCTTAAGAATAAGAAAGATGACTTAAAGATGAGCTTGAAAAGAAGGTAGAAGAGAGTCACGTCTTAAGACTGGGTACGAAATGAAAGTAGAAAAGAATCAAGACTTAAGGATGAGTACGCAAAGAGAATAGAACAGAGTCAAGATTCAAGGATGAGATTAAAAGAAAGTAGAAAAAAATCATTGCTTACGATTGAGTTGGAAAAAAGAGCAAAAAAGGCTTAAGACCTGAGCTTGAAAAGAAAGTAGAAAAGAGGCAAGATTTAAGGATGAGTATGGAAAGTGAATATAAATGAGACAAAGTTTAAGAATAAGATGAAAAAGATAATGAGTTAACTGAACAATCAGGCAAATATTTATAGGGATATCATGAAGTAGCAGAGTTAATTGACAATGAATATAGAAACTCACACAATTTAGGAACTATCAATATATATAATAAAGATCATAAGCAACCATTTAATATAAACATTATTCAGATAATAATATATATTATTAATATATTTATAAATTGTTGAAGAGAGACATTAAAAGTGTTTGAGAGCCTTTTGGCAATGGAAATCAGTTCAGATTATTCAGTTATATTTTATATATATAAAATTATTACTAATTATTAATTTACTTAATTATAGTATATTTATTAGTATATAGTTGAAATTAAATTGAATTCTATAGAATAAAGCACAAATTGAAATGTTGAGGCAATTAGCAGACTAAATAACCAAGGGTTATCATCGAGCCCAGCTGCGGGCTGCTAATCAAAATATGTTATTTTGTTATTTTAATTAAAATATATTAATTAATGCTTGCATTAGTCATTATTTAGACAAGAGCTATGAGTACTATATACTCTATATACTATATTCAATTCACGCTCAGATTGTTTATGCCCATTTGCTTATCAGCTAATTTATGATCTCTAAGCAGGAACGAAGTTCATCTAGCTTTAGGATCTCTAAGACATATATTACAGGGTATAACTAGCAAATCAAGGCAAGGTATAAGAAAACGCTGCTCTTCAATTACTTCATTGAGCTGAAAACTGATATATTTATATAGAAATGCCGACAGAGGCTGCCTCTTTATAGCAAGTGTTATCAGAGTCTTAACTATGCTAGTCTGAAAAATATATACTCAAGCGATCGAGAATTATGGCAACTTCTGGAGCAGGCTTTGCTGGGTGTGAAGGATTACAAAGGACAAATGAAAACAATCGAATAACAAAAAACGAAAATTTATTTTAGCAAATCAAATTCAAATTCGTTGGCGTATATGGGTGTGCTTAGGAGACTTAGGCCTTGACGCTTTGCTGTACCAGCTGCAGATTGGAGCGCATGAAGCACATGCCGCCGCGATAGGCCCAGGTGCAGGCATCGCTGCCTTGAGCATTGTTGTCCGCACAGTCGGCGATCTTCTGGTGCACTGCGTCCGAATGGTCGACGTGGGAGCCGCCGGCAAGCTGCTCATGGATCTTGTGCACATCGAAGCCGTGTGTGGCATCGAAAAAGCCAAACTGCTCGAATACGCACTTCAGGTAGCAACGACTCTTCTCGTCATCGACGAAGTCCCACTTGACAAACTTGGCCACATCCTCTTCGCTGGCATGCACCTGTTCGGCGCACATATGGCGGAACTTGACCAGATCCTCATGCGTCTTCACCACATAGCCCGAACCATGGTCATGACCATGATGATGATGCTCGTGCTCATCGGCAAAGACCAAAGTCAAGCTCAACAGAAGTATAAAGAGTTTCATGTTGGATTTAGCTTAGAGGATGCTGGAATTCACTTAGCGAAGATTGCAACTGCAATTTTGTGCTGCGCTTGCATTTGTATTTATAGCTAATTGGGAAGGTCTCGTCTGATCTGGTGATCACCTTCTAAGGTCGGCGCAAGCAAATGTGATTGACTGGCTCACATTGATTGTCTTATCACTGGGCTAAAGGTGTCTCAAAGTAATTGTCAAATTCCAAATAGCAACAAAGCACACACACACTCATAATCGAGTCACAAACAACAGCTGCATCAATTAGAATTCATGAGAGACTTAGACTAGTGTAAAGGGATTTTAATGATTCCAATACGATTGAAGCTGATCAGATGTTATCTCTAAGAATGTAAAATGCAATCAGTGGTGCCCTCACATCTTAAACATTCTGATAAGATGGTTTCTAATTCGATTCAAATATATTTCAGAAGGAATACTGTGTCGCCATCTGTGTAAAAACTTACTTTAGCGCCATCTGGCAGCAAATCTGACAAATGTCCACGACTATAGCTATTAGCTTTGCACAGTGAGCAAGCAGTTCAGTATTTTACGCGTTACAAATTCAAATGTGAGAAAAAATAAAAAATTTAGATTTTACATTTATAAAATTTGGTTTCTGATTCATAATTTTGCCTATAATTTAATTAGTTGAAATTATTAATTTGATTAAATAATAACAGGACATCATTTATATACCTTTAAAACTATTAAAATATTTTCAATACTTTTAAAAAAGATTTTTTATTTTCTAAATATATTTCAACTTAATTTGTATACACAAGTCGTATATTTATATGCATTTATAATATATTAATATATTATATATTAATTAACATTGCTTTTTCCTCTTTCTCTGTAGAAAGCTCTGCGAACATAATTCATAGCATTTATTTGATTAGTCGAACCGACACCTGGCTGTAAGCAACAACAACAAAATCTAATGAACTGTTACCTGCCAGATCAGGCTGCCACGAAAAGTTCAAATACTCATTATGCCAATCAAACGGACGGCAAACGTAAAAAGGGAAAGCGAAAGTTCAAGCAATAAAGAAAACGCAACAGGAGGCAAGCAACAACAACAACAACAACAACTGCAGCAAGCAACTAACAGCAACAACAAATTAAAAGCAACAAGAAAACTACAAATTGTTGATTGACCCCAAGAGCTGTCGGCATCTCCAGTCATGTCTCCGTGTGTGTGTGTGTGTGTGTGTGTGTGTGTGTGTGTGTGTGTGTGTGTGTGTGTGTGTGTGTGTGTGTGTGCGTGGGTGGTTGGGATATGCGCGCAGCTGACAGACCGACACTTATCACCTCTGTCAGTGAACGTGACTACAGCAAAGCCAACATCAAACGGCAATGACAGACTAAATGATACCCTATAAAACTATATATTATAATATTAATAATAATTAATCTAAATATTTGAAATTTCGACTCGATACTTGACTTTCAACTAAGTTGAGATATGTCTAACAATTGCTAGAAAAGAATATACCCCTCCTTAGGCACTCGCTGCTACAGGGTATATTCATCTTGCCAGCAAGAGCAGTTGGGGCATTGTTGTGGGGGCAATTTAATAGCTGTTTTTGGTACAAAGTGTGGGGTGTGTGGCAACTAGTAAACAACAACAAATATAGCAGCTACAACAACATCATTATCATCTACAACAACAACAATTCATGGTAGTTCTTAGCCATTGTGTGGATGAAAGTGAAACTATTGTTGTTAAGCGCATTGGCTATGGACTCATAATAGAAGGTGTTGCTGGCTCAAGCCTCGATCAATAGCTCGACAAGGCAAGTACCTGTCTCACCTACTCTCTCACTCGCTCACTCTCCCTTGCACACTATTCTAGACTTTCGCTCAGTTGACTGCATCCAATTGATTGCGATGCCAAAGCAATTAAATCAAAACTAAACGAAAAAGTCGACAACAAAAGCGAAATAAACCTAGTTTTAATACCCTACTTTGTGAAAGATAATATTCGTTTCCCTGAAGGCTGCTATCAATATAACTTCCTGCTTTTGGTATTCCCTGTTGGCAGGTCAAGAATATAAATTTGGAAGGACATAAAAATATGTTCTCGAGACTCGAATCAATTTGCAGCAAGAATTTCACCTCAAGCCAAAGTCTTAAACTAAAGAGAAAAGAAACATTTCGCCTGCAAATCTTAACGTTCTTCAGATTAAGGACACTTCCTGCTGTGCTACACGAGCGAACTGCGATAACCTCCAGCTGGATGCTCGAATCTAGGCCAAATTGCAAATGAAGTTCCTGCAGCGAGCCATAAAGCTCCACATAGCCGAAGCCAAGCACAGCGCAGCGACTGCGCAGCATTTGGCGCTGGCATCGACGTCGCTGCCGCCGTCGAAGGTATAAAAGGTAGAAGACCGCCCAGTGCTCGCTCAAAATCCAATAAGAAACGCGCGTGCGCAGCCGCCCGACAGTTGCGACTCGCGAGCTCCCATGCTAAAGAGCCCCGTTACACTCCCAGTTGCATTTAGTTGTTGCTTAGCACATACGTATGTGAACTATATATATATATAAAGATATATATATTTAGATTGCAATATAATTTACAGCAACTTGTTTTTTATAAAGTCACAACGTGTCGTGAGTCGTCCGCAAATTGTGCATTTTAAAAGTTTAAAAACGAAAACTCAACAAAAATAAAAGTAAACAAAACCAAAAGGAAAAAACCGAATAAAAAAAAACAAAAACAAAACAGAAAATCCCGAGTGCAGTTGACGATTTATGTGTTAATTTTTTGGACATTTCTTGAGCTTCCTGCGAATACGCTCAGAACACAACTTGCATACCAAAAAGGCAAAAACAATGCACAGCTTAAAGGTAAATGGTATATTGGGACAGTCATTGGGACAGTCATTGGGACAGACACACAGACAGACCCATTTGTTATAGATTCCACGCTTGCTGCACTTTCACTTTTTGCTTTTTGCTTTTTGCCAGGTTTAAGGTTACACATTTGTGTCCATTTTATTGCCTTTGAACTGGTCTCTGATCTCTTAGCCGTGACTCTGGCCAGCCGCTGCTAGCTGACTCAGCGTCTAACATGCAAAACTGGCAATGCAAGCTAGTTATAAAAATATCTAAAGAGACTGAGCGCGCACACATATACATAAGTAGACCGGCCACAAATCGTAAATCATTCACAGCTCTGCACATGTCGTCTAAGCACAAACACTAGAACAGGGCCAAGCTGAAAGCAAACGTAGTTATACTAAGCGTATTTCCATTACAGGTACGAGATACGACGTAAAAATCAATAAACAACAAACAGAAGTTCAATGTAACCAATACTATGCATACCCTTACCCATAGAGACTATATACAGATATAGTTCTAATAGCAGAACTGTTGTTCTTATGGAATACAAGCATAGGTCTTACTGTAGTCCAACTGGCACAGTGAAGCTGGAGTGAATGAAAAAATAAAACGTTTTGAGTATAGAAATTTATTAAAATACTTTAAAATATATATTTCAAATATTTAAGTAAATAATAAAAATAAATAATAAATACATTTTTATTAGTATTAACAGTTTATAATATAAACATTTTGTATGAAGTCTCAAGTTTGAGAATTTGCTCAATATATATTTCCATATTTGGCAAGAATTTAAATTTAAAGTCAACTTAAATTATAACTTAGGTTTGTTCAGTTTCTAATTCAAAACTTTTAAGACCACTATAAAAATTAACCAAAATAGTGTAGATCAGATAGAGAAACAATTAAATATTTTTAGCAAAACGGAAGCTAAGCAAAATGCTTAACAAATTGCGTGTCCAGAAGTTCAAATAAATTTAGTAGTGTTAACGGCTCACGCCTGTTGCACACTATTCAAAGAGGCCAAACAAAAATAAACATAATAAAAATAGCTTTATAATGGATATTTGAATAATCTTAGTCACAAGCCTGAAAGCATTCATAGAGCTCAACGCATCACTTAGTGAAATGTTACAAAAAAGAAGAATAAACTATTCGAACTTCATTATAGAGCAATAGAGCATCTAGTTCAGCATCGCTTTTTTCTTCATTCAATGTTTATGAGTTTTCCAATGCTCACTTGGCACACCCACATCATAAAAAGCTGATAATCAGCTATTTTTTGAGCCTAGGCTTTTAAGCCTAAACACTGCCAGGGCCAAGAGCGTGATCTTCAAAGGCGAACCGCATTAACTTGTGCAGCAGCAAACGATCTTCGTTGCTGTTGTAGCTCCGACTTTTGGCACTTAACATGGCCCAATTTCGAGAATTGAAGTGCACTTACTTACTTCATCATCATGATCAGCATGATCATCATCATTAAGTTCGTGTCATGATCGGCACGAGCTGTGCAATTGTTGCTATTGCTTTTTGTTAGCTGTTTGTTGATTCAATTTCAAACAATTGGATACGTTTCAAAGCCAAAAAGGAAAAGCGTTCAAAATTGCCCTCTGATCGTCTTTGGAAAGCACACACACACACACACACACACACACACAAACACACAGACATCTATTCCGGAGATCAAGTAATGCTTGGCGAGCAATCATGAGCTGGTGCTTGGGCGGAGAATGTGTTTTTATGTTGTTGTCCATGGCCAAAGGAAAGTCAAAGTGAAATGCATGGAAAGCAACGCCAATTACCAGCTGCAGCTCCAAAAGGGGAAGCCCAGCAGAAATGTCTCTGGGGTAATCTGAGCGCAGCCGGCGCATATAACAATTGGGAGTGAGTGGGGCGTGCAAATGCTAAGATCAAGATCAACGAAAACTCGGTCACAGATCACACTCAAAGTGTGTGTGTGTGTGTAAGCTCTTTATACATATGTGTGTGTGTGTTACAGCTTCATGGGCTGGCGCATTTCCATGCCAAGTGGTCAACTCGTTTAACCGGACCTATGACAAAGCTGCCTAAGGAAAGGCTCAAAATTCCAATGGTATATAGCCCATGTCGATCGCGCTGGTCTGCCGTCCGGTTTGATCGGCTTCCATAGTAATCCAATTAAAGGAACAATCTACATTTCAATTCAAAACTAATGAACTGTAGTTAATTCACAACAATGGGTAACACACATAGATCGTTCTATAGATCGCTCTTTTTGTTGTTGCTGTTCTTGTTGTTCGTGCTGTTGCCGTCGCACGTTTTGAATGCAATAGTTGCTTAGAGATCGAAGCGAATCGATCTCTCTACTCCACTCTACTCTAGCATTTGAAAGTCATGTGCTCTGACGTCGAACTTGTGGTCTTCCATTCAGCGCCGGCTTCCTTGTCCGTAGTTCCCAAACTTCCGTCAAAGATTGCCCACAATAGTGGCCCGGGTGCAAACAATTCATTGATTGATGATCGCTTTGGCAATCAATTAAACAGCGTTGAATGGTCTTGGTGACAAATCATAGACTCGCTAACAATAATGCCATTGCTTTGGCTAATGTCTCCCCACTCTCCCTGCCAAACTTTCAGTTCAGTCTGCTGCTGTTGCTCTTGGCGCTCTCGCTATGCATCAGCTGCTGTCAGGGCGCGCGTCGACTGCGCAAGAAGCCGAAGGTCTACAATGCGCTTATCACCACGGACGACAATCTGACATCGAGTCGCGCCTATCCGGTCATCCAACCCACCATACATGAGCCAGGCTATGCACCATTCGGACCCTTTAATCCCTTTGGCTTCTACAGTCCGCCGCTTGTGAGATTTGGACAGCCTTTGGTGCCAGGTTTGCCGCCCAATGAGCGGGTAAGTTGGTTGCCAACAGCCACAGCTATATATAGTTAATTTTATTACCTTCTTCCAGCTGCCATATCCGCTGCCTACAGCCCCGCAATATCCGCCTGTTTATGCATCATTTGATCCTCATCAGCCTAACATTTTGCCGGGGGAACAGCAGCCACCACCGCAACCACAACAGGAGCTGGCGCCCCAAATGCCAACAGCTGAGGAAACAGAGCCTAAAGAGCTTAAGGGCAAGGACCAGCTGCCGTTGCCTCTCAATGATCGAGGATTGCCACCTGTTTTGATACCACTTTCATCCCAGTTCAACGGTCAGCCCATGCATCTGCCGCCCTATTCCTACCAACAGTACCCAGTGGTCTATGACCAGGCAGGCTACGTCCGGCAGCGCGAAAACTATTTGCCACCTTACGATTACTATCCCAGCCAAGGATATCCGACGCGTAACCCTTCAACTGATGCGCCGCCCGTTCAACAACCAGAGCCAGAGCCAGAGGCGGAGGTGCAGCCTTTGCCACTGGACAGCCTGGATGCTACGCCCAGTTTCGATGATATCAAAAATGGGTCAGAGAATAAAAATATAGATGTGCCCGATGTACCGCCGCCGCCAATACCTTCGGGTCCAAAGCGCCCCAGACCAAAGGATAATTGAGGCGTGTTTTGGGAGCCGCCCCTTACGAAATATACGCGTATTTATTACCATTTTCTTTAAGCATTTCGATTTGATGTATGTCGTTCAATAATGTAATTAAATAAGCTAAGTAAGTGTTCATCAAAGATAATAAATAAATGAATATAAACCGGCGAGGTGAACGAACTTGGTAGGCTGGACCCTAGGGATAGACAGAGCAGAGCTATGACCAGCTTTCACTGGGATAGACCCGTGGGAATTGGATTATCAGAATCATTTTTGCCTATAAATGCAGCGAAAACAGCTGTCATTGCCTCACTGCACTGCAAACTCTTGCAAAATGAAGCTAGCATTCCTTTCGATTGTCTGCTGCTGCCTTTTTGCTTTGGGTAAGACATCTATGTGTTATTTTATATATATTATAGATTGACTTTGCTCTACAGCCTTTGGTCATGACATTGCTGGCACCAAGGCCCCATTTGTGCGCAGTCGTTACAGTTTACGTTGGCGTAAGACTACGACAGCTATGCCAGAGACCACAACTGGTCGTGTCGTGGAGCTTGTTACCTCAACGGAGCGTCCGAGAGTGGGCACCTCAACAACCAGTCCGGATTATGATTACTATGGCAATGGCGAAGCAGATAATATGGTGCATAAATGAAGTAAATTAACAAGTCTCCCAGTCTCAATATATACGTATTCATTTATATAACATATGCACTCTCAATAATACATAAAGAAAATATGCATATTCAAATTTAAATTCAAATTTAAGCAACGGTTTCCTTTCCAAGAAACTGTCAATTGTAGAAGAAGCAGCTAACAGCGCTCTGTTAACTAACATACAACGATTTGTGTTAAGCTGGATACGTTGCTTATAAATCTTGCTGCATGAAATAAACATATTTTTAAATGGTAGTGTGACCAGATTTTAGTGTTTTTTATTCAAAACAGCTGCAACATTTTTATAATTTTAAGGGTCACACTGCACTCAGCTGTGCTATAACAGCTCTTGTCGTTAGCAGCATACCGGTCTATTGACAGATTCATAACGCTAACAGAATACAATTTATAAACCAGTTATTTAGAATGTTACTAATAAATAAATATGCGCAAAACATGCGAAGCTTTCAAAAACTTGCAAGTCTGCTTAACGAGCGAAACAAATTTTGCTGGCCAGCGACTGCAACAACAAAAACATTGAACGCAAGCCAATGGAGTGAAGGGTCGCAACGACTGTATTGGTGAGTATGAGCTGCGATTATTGACTAGATTTGAGAAGCTCTGATTGCGCAGCAGCAGCAGCAACAGATATGAGAGCTCAGTTGTGTATACGACAGTAACGAGAGCAGCAGCAGCAGCAACTGGTGCTGGCCATTTAAGATTGTACAGCAAACAACCTCTCACAGCAACTGCAACAACAACGAAAAAACGCAAAATGGTGGTAAGTGAATATCTTATTCAATATTGCCAACTGCCAAATATTACAAAAGTCTAAATGTATCTCGGCTTAAACGCACTTATCGCTTGAGGCCACGCGAGGTCAGCAACTGGCCCCAAGGGCAGTGAAAACCGCAGAAACAGACACAAATGTAATCTAAACACTTGTTGCTTCTACAAATTTACCCACCTTAGGCCAAACTGAATGAACAAGAACGCGCCGAAAAGTTACAGCCACTGCTGGATGGAGGCTGGAGGCTGGTTGAGGGGCGCGATGCTATATACAAGGAATTTGTGCTTAAGGATTTCAATCAGGCCTTCAGCTTTATGACTGGTGTTGCCTTACTAGCTGAGAAAATGAATCATCATCCAGAGTGGTTTAACTGCTACAATAAAGTACAGGTTACCCTCAGCACCCATGACGTTGGCGGCCTGAGCAGCCAGGATATACGCATGGCCACGTACTTTGAGGCACAGGCCAAGCTGTTGAAATAAATGATTTAAACTAATTGTTTGATATATATTTTGTTTGTATCGCATTTAAAAATATTGTTGTTAAAATTAATTAAATACTCAGCCCAGCATGGACTTACTTAATATCTGATAGTCAGCCTCTTCCAAGACATCTGGTGACGTCTCGTCCTTGGCATAGCCAAGTGCTTTGAAAAACGTTAACGAGTTATCATTATTGTTTAGCACCGTGAGCATAACTTTTTCCAACTTCCAAAGCCGGGCACAGGCCTCGAGCATTTGCATCATGAACTTTCCAAGGCCTTTTCTTTGGTACTCGGGCGCGATTTGTATTTCGTAACTAAAATGGAGTAATAAAAATGAATGTAAAACATATTGAAAACTTAATTTACTTACCAGTAGAGCACGCAGTCACCATCATCCATGTCGAAACGGAACATGGTGTAGGCCACGGGTTGATTCTGTTGATTGTGGGCCACCAAGAAACGCGCCCAGTTCTTATTAAGTTCAGACTGTTTAATTTTGGGCTGCCAGCCCATTTTAAGCTGCTTGTAGAATGGGCCTACATTCTGTTCCGCCAGTTTAAATGTCCATTTGAGGGCTTTTGCATCCATATCGCTCTTGGCGCGGCAATATAGTTTAAACTCCTCGCCAGAACTCGACTTGTAGCTTTCGTATGGTAATGATTCAAGTGGAATTTTTGCACGTACTGCGGCCTCCACAAATTTGTGCTTGGCAGCAGCACTAAGCTCGTCTCGATTTGCCATTATTTAATTTTTGAAACAATATGTTTCGTACATTTGTCCTAAGAGAGCGTGCACTTAAAAGCGGGAAACCAGTGCTGTATATAATTTAAAATGCAGCCCTGGTTACTAATTTGCGCATTATAGAGCACTACAAAATCTATCAACAAGTAAACAACGCAATCACCTGGAATATTATTAAATTTATTTAACAACAAAGGCTGTGAATATAAATAAATATAAAAGTCAATCATACGCAGGGGCTTAACATGTAAATATTAATCAAGTAAAGTCATATATATGCAATAGCACATATTAAATTGATATGCTGACGTTATCATTTGGTTTTCAGCAAACAAAAACAAACCACATCTTCTGAAAGAAAGAATTTAAACGATGTTTAAAAAATCAAAGCCCAAGGTGGAGCCACCACCCACAGCGCCCAATCTAGATGAAATGCTTGCGGATATTGAGACATTTGAAATTTGTCAACCAGCTGGGAGCAAGGCCAGTAGCACCGCAGCTCTGGAGCACGCACTGCTTACAGAGCCCGAGAACTTAGCTCTTGAGACTTGGTGGCAAGTGTTTGACGAATATGACCAAAAGGTCAAAAAACTGGCTGCGATGGAAGGCACACTAGAAGCAAAAAAGGAAAATCTATTGGCTTGTAAAGTTAAGCTTGAAAAGAATGCCAATAATCTGCGCAACGGTATCCAAAAGCAACAGAGCTTAATAAAGGAAATGGTTGATTGTTGACATGTTGGAACATTAATTAATTTTCGTCAATTCTATCAAATTACAAAAATCAGCAGTTTTATATATCGATAACTGATTCTTATTTCTATTGTTGACAAACACATACACAACGTAGGTTATCGGGTATGCTGGTAGGCTGCGCTCAGAGAGTATCGATACTTGTTACCTGCAGCCGTTTTTTTATGTGGGGAGAAATAAAATAATTGTTTTTAAATTATTTGCATTAAAATGCAAGCGTTTAATTAATTAAAAAGTGAGTTTTGTGAATTGAACACACCAAGAGGAAAAAATGCACAAAATACAGAGAAACACACATTTATTTTGGGCCTGTGAATAAGCCAGGGAACAGGTTTAGGCCAGAAAAACTTGGCTGGCTTACCATTTACGCCACAGCGTTAATGGCAATACAACAGCGAGCGGAGGTCGATTGTTTTGCGTATATGTGCTTGTGTTTATGTGTATGTATGTATGTATGAGTGCTTGTGTGCTTTTGTAGGTGTTTAATATTTTGCTTGTGAGTTAGCTAAATCCAATTACCAAATCGAAAAAGTGCAACAATTGTTATGTGTACAAGAAATAACCCTTTCACGCTGACTAATTGAATTTTACGTATCTTATTTTGGCTACTTAACAACAACAGCAACGAGTAGAATCTTGGTTCACACCAAGAATACACACACATACAATATGCAAATGCCCACACTAAAGGATTATTATCCAATTTAACGGTTGTCAATAGCGTAAAAGAATGCAATACATTTAATGACCAAATAGAAATGTGTGCAAAAAAAAAACAACCGACTAACAGTAATTTTCACGGGCACACGCAAACACAAGCACATCGCTTAACATGTTTGTGTATTGTGTGTGTGCATGAGTGTTAGTGTGTGCGCGAACAAAGTGCTAATAAGATGCTTATGCCTGAATGTTGATGCTGTGCTGCTTCTTGCCAGCAGTTTGTTGCTATTGCCATTTATGCAAAATATATACGTAAATTTTGAACAAAAGATGTACATACATATTTTATTGTTTTGATCTGTTGCGAATTTCGCCAGCTAACGAACTGGCTGCAAAAGGTGAAAGCAAGATTTTTGTTGTATTATTTTATTGTTGTTTGCTTTTGCTTAAGTGGATGCTGTATGTGATATTTTGTATGAATTCGTATTTATAAAAGTGCAATTTCTTTGTGCACAGTTGGGCCTACCATTATTACAATAATCTTATATATACTTTGCTCATTCTCTTGCAGCAGCTACGCGTGAGATGTCGCATGTTATTTGTGTTGCGGCTGTAACGGATTTTTTCAGTTTGGCAATTCTTATTGGCAAAGCAACAACTGCTGCAATAATGTAAGAAACGACGGGCTAACAAAGGTCAATCGAAGCCAGCAAACGCAGCCTAGAACTAGTTAGGTTTCCACACACACACATACACACACGAACATAGATTTTAACACACACATACACACAGTTAGAGCAAGCATGGGCTGGCTGCTGGCGCTCCTGGCGTTGCTGTTGGCCATCAGCGAGCTGCTAGCAATCCCAACGCCACTCAAGCTACCAGGTAAGGCCACAATTTGAACTTTCTCCATCTACTGTTTGCCTAACCTACGCTCTTGTTTAGGCTACACACATAAACTGACGCCATATATCAAACACTGGGAGGCGGCGAACTTTGATCGCGCCGTGCTGCAGGCAGCGCAGCTGCGCCATTTGGAACAAGCACGCGCGCGCCGAAAACGGCAAGTTGAGCCCTCAAGTGGTTCACCTGTGGGACTGGCGCACACAATTCGCCTGAATTTCTCTGCACATGACAGGTACGTGCGTGGGTTGTATCTGTAGTTCAACTGCAACTCATTCATTACACACATACTCATTCATTTGTTTACAGAGACTTCCTGCTGGTGCTGCGTCAGCAACCAAATTCGGTGTTTGCGCATGACGTGGAAATCGAGAATACACTGGGACCCATCGATTACGATGTCTCACGCATTTACACGGGCAGCCTGGAGGATGATGAGCAAGCCCATGTACAGGCGATACTCACAAGTGATAATCTACTAGATGGTACCATAGAAACGCAAGCTGAGCACTATTATATAGAGCCAGCGCAGCGATATTCACAGCAGCTGGCGGAAAGTGGTGTACACAGCATAGTTTATAAGCTGAGTGATGTAAATATGCAGCAACAGAATTCATTTGCCAGTGGTGTATCCTCACAGGCCCCAGTCAAAACGCACTGCGCTAGCGAGCGATTGAGACGCAAGCGCTGGCTGCCTGAAGAGGAGGTAAGTAGACCCTACATGCAATTATACAAATATTTATATATATATTAATGCTTTGTTTTTCACCAATAGCACGTCACAGTTCCAAATTATAATCGCAATCCACCGCTGCCGTTGGATCTAGAAGTGCCCTACAATGATGACTTTCGTGTGCTGGCCTCTGAGGAGGATCGCAGCGAGGAGGAATCTAAAAAGTCCACAACAACAACAACGATGCGGAGTACAGAAAGCTTTCTAGCCACGCTGACGAAGCCTACGCCCAATCGCAACATACTTGTAAATAACTATAATCCCTCCAATGTTGGCGACACCAGTCGCAGCTACAACAGCAATACCAATACCAACAGCAACAACAATAACAATGTACGAAAGTTGTACACGAAACACAAAAACATCATCGTTAGCACCTACAATCGACCTATAGAGCCGGAATTCGGTACACCCTATGAGGAGCCCAATGCCAATAATAGCAACAGCCTGCCAAATAACTTTTTCAATGCAAATTGGACAACACTTTCAATGGGTAACAACGACCGACCCAGCCACAAGACACACGTGGAGATTATTACCAAGAACGGTGCCACTAAGAAACCGAACATCATTGTTAACAACTACAATCCAGAGATTATATTTGCACCCAATCCACACAATCCCAGTTTCAATAGCATGCTGATGACGAATCTCTTGAGTGGCCGAGGCGATGACATACACAACTCTCCGCGTCTGCTCTATGATCGCAAGACAACTTGCATGCTATATTTGCAGGCGGATCACACGTTCTTCCAGAAAATGGGCAGCGATGAGGCCTCCATCGAAGCCATCACACGTCACGTGCAGCGTGCCAATTCCATCTATCGTAATACGGACTTCAACAACGATGGCAAGCCCGATAACATTACGTTTATGATCAAGCGTATTAAGGTGCACAACATGAACGCCATGAAGGACCCTAGTTATAGGTTTCCTGGCAACTATGGTGTGGAAAAATTCTTGGAATTGTTTTCAGGTGAGCGATCAACTAACTTTTTACGATTTCTCTTATAATATCCTTTCTTGTTTACACTACAGAGGAGGACTATGATGCCTTCTGTCTGGCCTACATGTTCACTTATCGAGACTTTGAAATGGGCACCCTAGGTCTGGCTTGGACGGGTGATCTGAAGAATGCTGGTGGCGTTTGCGAAAAGAATGGGCATTATCGCGGTTCCCTTAAATCCCTAAACACAGGCATTGTTACGCTTCTCAATTATGGAAAACATGTGCCTCCCGCCGTTTCGCATGTTACGCTAGCTCACGAGATTGGTCATAATTTTGGTTCACCGGTAAATAATATTTCCCATATTTTTATAAATTATTTACAAATTAGTTTACTTCCCCAAATATAGCACGATCCTGAGCAGTGCACGCCAGGCGGTGAGGATGGCAACTTTATAATGTTCGCACGCGCCACTTCGGGGGATAAGAAGAACAATAATAAATTCAGTGCCTGCTCCTTAAAATCCATTGAGCCAGTGCTGAACGCAAAAGCACGTTCGATGAAGGGCTGCTTCACGGAGCCACAGTCATCCATATGCGGCAATGGCGTCGTCGAACCGGGTGAGCAGTGCGACTGCGGATGGGAAGAGGACTGCAAGGATTCTTGCTGTTTTCCCATGTCCCGGCAGCCGCATCTGGATGAAACGCCCTGCACACTGACGCCACACGCGCGTTGCAGTCCTTCGCAGGGACCATGCTGCACCACCGATTGCAAGGTGAAATTTGGTGACAAGTGTCGCGATGACAACGGCTGCCGCGATCCCTCGTTCTGCGACGGTCGCGTACCCCAGTGCCCGCCATCGGTGAACAAGCCTAACAAAACGATTTGCAACAAGGAATTTGTATGCTATATGGGCGACTGTACGGGTAGCATTTGCTTGGCTTACGGACTAGAGTCCTGCCAGTGCATACCAGGCCCACAGGATGATCGCATCAAGTCCTGCGAACTCTGCTGCAAGCTGCCTGGCGAAGATAATCCCTGCCGTAGCTCCTTTGAGTGGAACGAGGTGCCTTTCGATGTGCCCGATATGTACTCGAAACCGGGCACGCCGTGCAATGATTACAATGGGTATTATATGGCATGTAAATAATGTTATTAGTTACTAATCCCATCGACCTTTATAGCTACTGCGATGTCTTCCAAAAATGTCGTGAGGTGGATCCCTCTGGTCCATTGGCCACACTGCGCAAGCTGCTGCTCTCCGAGGAGAGTATTGCTACCTTCAAGAAGTGGGTGCAGCATCATTGGTACACTGTAGCCCTGGCTGCTATTGGCGTCTTTTTGTTACTGGTATGTGAAATATCTCCGTTTTATTTAATATTCGGTAGTCCGAAGGAAAGTTTTATTTACTTATTATGTTTTAATACATTTTTGTTTGACAAGTTAATGCGTGTGGTCACAAGTATGCTGAGGGATCAGTATGAGGCCAAAACGCAGGCCTTGGGCGATGGTGAGGCCAGCAATGTACCTGAAACTGAACCCCGTAGAGCTCAGTTCATTGGCCATTGATCTATGTAGAGCCCATTTATGCTTTATTTCATTCAATCACTTACAACCCAACAACTCAATCTTATTTACAATAAATATAATAATTTATTTTTTTCTTGCTACAGATCATGAGCACAAAGCTGCTGGCGAAACGCTCGAATCTGAAGCTTAAATCAGTGACCATTATACACAGTGCCACCACGGAAACGGTGCGTCTGCCGGAAAATAACAACGGCGTAATTGTACACACGGCCGTGCGCACCAAGGTGCCATTCAAGAAAAAGGTTCGTGGTGAGCGCAGCAAGAAGTCAGGAACCGGCTTAGCAACAGGAGCAACAACAGCGGCGGGAGTACGTAGTAGTGCGGTAACCAAGGGCAGCGGGAATGCAGAGCCAAAGAAATCGAACCGAGCGCAGGCGCTGACCAAAAAGAAGCTGAAAACAAATGCTGCTGAAGAGGAGCCAACCAAAAAGTCCAAAAAGCTGGGCAAGCATATGAAGGAAATCATCGACTATTCGCATCGCAACAACAATGCTACCGGCGGTGATGATGCCTCAAATCTATCAACCACCAACAATCACAGCAACACCTTCGGCAAGGTGCAAAGGTGGCTGTTGGAATCACCGATTGTGGCACAGCCACTATCGCACATGGATCATAGTTCGCGTGTGCGCAAGGTAATGAGCAAATCACAGTCAACGCCCGAACGGCTGGTGCAGAAAACACCGCAAAAGACCAAGTCCATGGGTAATCTCTCAAACGAGAAGGTCAAGCTGCAGGTCGTCTACAAGCCGCCTTTCAAGTTTTCGCTGCGTCTGTCTAAGAAGCCCAAGGTAAAGACGCACGTGGTGGGCGTAAGCGCTGGCGCGCGTCCAAAGCGTACGCAGAAGGCGGCAAACACACGCTCCAGCGGCCAGGCGGCAACAACATCCAAGGGCCCATACACAGAGCGCACCAAGCGCACTGCTTTGCTGCTGTGCAACGAAGCGGAGGACGATAATCAAATACTGACGGTCAACGAGCCAAACTATGAGACACTTAAGCCGCCCACGCGCAGCACAGAGCACTGCTATGAGAATGTTGAGCTGCCTGGTGCCAGTGCAGGCACTGAACCTGCCGGTGCAAGCAAACCGGGTAGCTGCAGTAGTGGTGCTGGCAAAATTGCGCCCAGCTCTTCAAATCGTGCTAGCTTAGATTCCGCAGCTGTACCTGCATCGCAGCGCAACTCCTATCGGCGCTCCAATTCGCTGTCTACACATAATCCATTTGCGGTGGCGCCGCGACGTAACAGCAGCAAAACAGCCAAGCATGAGTCGCAGCCCGCCGGCGGATCCATTAATCTGACGCGTAACTTTGGTAGCACGCAAAATTTGATAAATCTTAGCCAGAACATGGCTAAATCCAAGAAGCGCAGCAGTCTCAATCTGAAAGCGAGTGCAGCCAAAAATGGCAAAGATCCACCCACAGCGATAGCAGCAGCTTCAGCAGGGCCGCAACGTCGCTCCTCTTCCAACGCAAACCTGCGCAGAAACAGCAGCACCTCCAATGCAACGCCCCAGGCAGCTCCAGTGCCGCCCACGCGCAACTCACGCAACAGCTTCAGCAACATTCCACGCGCCAGCCTCAATGGCCAGAGCGGAGTCTCCGCAACGACCGCGGCACCGAGCTTTTCACGTCAATCCTCGAGTAGTACAGCGACAACAATATCTAGCGGGATGGCGCCGGCGCTCCCACTGCCTCTTCCTCTGCAGCAATCCGCCTCCGCAAGCGCCATGCCCAGTCAACGACAAACGACGCAGCCGATGCGTCGCAGTCTAAACAATTTCCGAGCGCGTTCGAATGCGACAGCAGCGGCTGCTGCGCCACCACCAACAACAGCAACAACAACGCTGGACAACGAGTTGCCATCGGATCTGGAGGTGGTTGTCTCTGACATTGAAAACCTGGTTAGCTAAGAGCAGCGCAGTTGCTCGTATACATTTCAAAGCAACCAAGTGAAAGTGATAAGTCCTAAAGTTAGTTATACAAATTGTCGCATAGGTTTACATGCATATATATATAAATTTAGATTTGTATATATATACATAAATATATATATATGTACTTTACACTGCCTTAAACTTGCCGTTTCTGCTGAATATGTGAATGCCACGCCCCTCCATACTTACCAAAACGACCACGAACCCCGCATTAACCAAGATAGAATAGTAACATATATTCGGATTGCCGAATTTCAAATATCCTTGCAAATAAATGGATCTAATATTTAGCGTGAATGGGAGATGCATGGTAATTCGGATAAACCAGAATGTTATTAAGATAAACAACAATTTCTAATCAATTTTATATATGGAAATATAATGCAAAATACTCCGATATTCATAAAGTAGAAATTATATGATAATAGATTTCGTTTCAAACAATTTATCATTTAATCTTCATCTTTGCGTTATGTATATATATCTTCACAAAAAACTATGATCCATTCTGCAAGGGTATACAAAGTCTAACAACGCTCGTGCTTATGGCTCCACTCCCACACACGCATAAAACACAAATCGATACCATTGAATGCTCACCCGACTCACCCAAAACTAACACCAACACCGACACCAACGCCAATGCCACCGCCGAAGCCAGATGCACTCACCGCACATTGTACCTTTTACTACATACTATTTAACTGTATTTACTGTTGTATTGTATTCGTGATCTATGTAACTGTAACTTGTAACTCTGTACTTTTGTCTATACCTATGTGAATTGTGTTAAGTTGTCGTAATACGATCGTGTTATATGTATGAACCAACAATATCCTAACTGATCTGAAATTTGTACTAACGTATTCCACTATTAGAATTGTATTAGCTTTGAGAACAAAAACAAAATGAAATCGGCTTAGGCTAAACTATTTTTGTAATGCGAAAAATAATAATAACAATAGACCGATCAACAGCTAATCTATAATATAATAGATTTTATATATATACATATGTACATCGATACAACGAAACTCGATCGCTGCACAGATTCAAACTGTTATTGTATTTATTTGTTTTTATATGAATTCCTACACAGTATTACGTTATCTTTATACGACATATCTTTATTTTCTTAAATCATGTTCTTAACGTTTCGAACAACGACCATTGTCTCTATATAAACTTCGACACACAGAACAACAATACAAGGTGCTATTTTAGTAAGGAATGTATAAAGCAAACATAAACAAAAATCTAACCAAGAACATTTTAAAACAAAAGAAAAGGAAACTCTTATGAATATTTTCCAAGAAGATCAAAAATGAATATAGGACTTGTAGTTGAGATGAGAGTGTAGCCAAGTGGTTAGTCCGGGAAAGTTGCAAGTAATATACATACATAAATGATATTAGTAACAATTATAACCAACGATAACTGTCAATAAATCAAAAGTAAAATGCATCGAATCGTAGTAATTAGTAGTCGCAGCAGAATCAAATGAAAACTTAAAACAGTTTTATAAAGAGCACCACTCTGCAGTTATACCCACATCTACACATACCTACACCCACATCCACAAACACATACACACACAATTGCCTGCGCCATTCTTAGAAGTAGTGTATATAGGAAACAAAATCGAAAGACAAATAGTTTTTATATGCAAACAATAAAAAAATTAGAAAGCAATAAAGAACAAACACCTAACCGATATTCATTACATACTATAGTCACGTAGCGTATCAAATCACAAATGAAAGCAAACGGCTTGCAAAGATATAAGAAAGAATGCCCCAAATAACTAGCGATTTATAGTATAAGCCAATCGGAATAATCCCTAGACATATGTACATTCGTATGTAAGTAATGTGTTGAAAACTCGTCGTTTTTAAATTGCGTATAGTTCTGATATGTATTTGCATTTGCATTGGCTGGGGAAAATACTGAGATGGGGGCGTGCAATGAGCACATGGGTATATTTTTTTTGGAATATACAACACATTAATAGGTAGACATAAGCTCAGCTCAAATGATCAACCCGAAACAAGTGGATATTAAGACAGTTAACGTAAACGCGTAGGCAAGTTATGAAACGGAAAAACAAGAAAAACAAAATTACGCGACAATCGCTTTGAAATGCTTATTAAGAGAAACAAAAGTAACATAAATCGAAATATAGTTTTAAGTTTGTCTTAACGAACAAAAGAAGAACACAACAAATTTAACACGAATACCTATTGATAACTATTTAAATATGAAACTATACAATGCGCAGATTCTTTTATAACATCGGAGTATCTCGGCAATATCATAAAATTTACCAAAAAAATATAACAAAAAAAGAAGAAAATTGCCAATGTTTATGTATTGTATATAATAAATGCAAATAATTATTATCTAAGCTGAAAGTATTTTGAGCGTGACAGAAAAAGACTATTTTAGCGCGAAATGAACCATTTTTGTGTATTGTACATAAGAAATTTATTGATTTTAAATTATATATATGCATCTATATATATACATATATAATAATTTAGTCGTAAAACTGCAAAACGATTTTGAAATCTGTGTGTGTACCTCAATTGTAATTAATTTTGTTTGTGTATGCTTTTTGACAAAGGTTTTGCACCCACTTCACTAGTTTGAGAACAACTATTTTTTATAATTTAGCTAAATGAATTTTAAAAACACATACTCCAAGAAACCCTCGTAGAGAACCAAACCCCTAGTTAAATAACAAAGTTTTAAATGTTGTCAAAGAACGTATCAAGTACGAAAAGTATTTCTGTCGTCAATTAAATAACGCGTAAATCGAAAGCCGAAAAGCGAAAACAAGCATAATTTAAGTACAATAATTCTTAATAATATAAGTTGCAAACAGAGAGACAGAGAGCAAATGTGTGACACTTAAGTTTTACTTAATAATAATGGTATGAATACAGTAATTATTTAATTTATTAAGATTATCATTAAAATTTTATGCAAAATGTAACTAATTTTTTAACACTGCACACCATTGCAATATTTTTTATAATTTTCTCATTTCAAGCAAAATTAAAATAACAATAAAAAAAATGAAACTAAAACTTACAGAAACACTACAAATTTACTTAATTAACTTTTTTCTCAGCCTTTTCCAATTTTATGGCACGTTTTGCCATAATCCAAAAGTAAACAGAGGGCAGCAAATGACGCAAATAATAGGCAATTTTCGCCTGGATATCGCTAACAATTATGTCGGGTTCCTTACGCATGATGCATAGTAATATGCGTTCCGCCAGCTTATTGGGCGACATACCCTTGGCCGTATTATCATCCATTTCTGAAAACGGAGAAACACAAATGAATTAACTAGTAGCATACATATCAATTACATTTCTGCTCACTGCCATAGCTTCCGCCCGCTCCAGTCAGCGCATTCATCGAGAGCTGTGTGCGTATGTAACCAGGACTGACACAGGATACGAACACTTTCTTATTGGCCACCTCAGCGCGCAAAGCGTCGGCGAATGCTTGCAGTGCATGTTTGGAGGCGGAATAAGCTGCTCGTTGAGGTATCGCAAACTTTCCTTGCACGGAGCTAATGAAGCAGATATGACCGCTCTGACGTTTTACCATTGAAGGCAACAGTGCTATATGGAAAAAGATAAGCTATATCATAAGCTTTGTGACCAATTGTACTGCAAGGAAATACCTTTTGTCAACGCCACCGTTCCAAAATAATTTACCACCATTACCTTAAGATCGACATCGACAGCAGTGGTAGCAACATCGGCACGCACGCTAATGCCACCATTATTTATCAAGATATCCACTTGGTTGTAAACCCCCAAAGTGCGGGTAACAAAATCTGGGATAGAATTAAGTTCAGCTAGATCCAAAGGCAGAACGGTTGGCGGGTATGCTGGATCCTGCAAGTAGCAATATATATAAATACGAAAATTCCGATAAACATAGAAACCCTTGTTTACCACGTCCAGTGCCATAAGATCCTTCTTTACGCGCTCCAGCTCCTGGACACGACGGGCGGCCAGGATGACCTTGCAACCCGCCTTATAAAAGACATGCGCAAGGGACTCGCCCAAGCCAGAACTGGCGCCCGTTATAAGCACAACCTATAAGTATTTAATACAAAACTTAAAATACAGCGATTTATTTAGTTTTATTATTCACCTTGCCCGATAACTGATTGCGGTACTTCTGGGCGCGAAAGCGTTGCCACAAATTTATAATAGCCAATGGAAAAGCCACAGGCATTAGAAAGCTGCCAAGCATCCAGTACAGCACATTCCAAGCACTGCTTGGCGCGCATTTTTCTACTTCATCTAACTTCATAGTAATTTTTATTCTTAAGTCGAAGAACTTTGCACTTTAGCAAACAGTAAGACCAAAAACGAATCAAGTTGTGCCGTTCACATTGAACAGTCAGTTTTTTTTGATTGCAACCCCGTTCACATATATTTGAAGAGCATTGCCGTTTGTGTGTTACCGTAACCATGTGAATAGCAACAATGCACAGCTGATATTTGTTACGTTAAAGTTCTTGGTGCAACTTATTTAATTGTTATTTTATTTAATAAAATATGTTAAAATGCACTGCCTGGTTAGACAAACCCAACGTTTAAGCTGGTGGCTACCAGCAGCACAAATTCACACAACAGCTGTGCAGCGCACTTTTTGGGAGCGAGAGAAAAAATCCGGCTACAAAACAAAACTTGCAGAGCCATCAAAAAAGCAGCTTATAATTGATGGACTTCGGGATTTAAAAGAGGAAATAAAGCTTTGGCGTCAGGAAGTTAAAGAAAAACTAGAAAGTGATCCAATATTGGTATTTCGACCCGGAGAAACAGACATAGTATTCGATTTCAAAGCACCGGACGTACTCGATAAATGGACAGTGACGACAGATGCAGACCACGGTGAAGGAAAGAGCAGTGCCACATTGGAGCTAAGCGCATCAGGAGCGGGGCTCTTTCATGGTGAGGTCAACTCTCAGCATACCAAGGATGGCATTATAAAGCGCACCGGCTATGCTAATATACGGACTAAGCGCGTGCGGGTTAGTAAAGAATAATAAGTCAGTGCCAGATTGAGATCTCATTCACAGTATATTTCCTGATAGAAATCATTTAAGCGAGAATCTACATACGACTGGACGCAGTACAATATGCTGGTAATGAAGGTGCGCGGTGACGGACGAAGTTACCTAATAAATTTGCACACAGAGGGCTATTTCGATCTCATGTGGAATGATATCTATCACTATGTGCTGTACACACGGGGTGGTCCTCATTGGCAAATAGCCAAGATACCCTTCTCTAAATTCTTTCTATCCTCGAAAGGTCGCGTTCAGGATCGTCAGAATGCAATACACCTGGATTGTGTAACTCATTTTGGTTTCTCTGTGGCAGCCAAAAAAGGAATGGATGGGCCATTTGGCTTAGAAATTGACTATGTGGGATTGGAATATGATCCCAGCCATCAAGAGGAATTTGCTTACGAAATGTACAAAACACCCAAGTATATTGTAGCGACATAAAAACGAAGATCTGCTAATGTGGAATACTGACCATTCAAAATAAATGCACGTTTGTTTTAACCTATTCTCTCTCTCTTTCTCTTATTTTCCGCTCATCTGTGCTCTCTCGAATCAGCTGTTTAAATGTTTACAATTGCACAGTCGTCAGGGTCGAATGTTTTTGTTGCTGTCTGTTAAAATACAACAGGTACTGCTATTTGCAATTTGCTTTTTACATATTGAAAGGCGCTTCGATTTCAACAGCTGCCATTCCACGACAACCAATTAAAGCCGCGCGAGCGGCAACAGTATTCGCGATTTAGTTTCGCTCTGCTCCACTCAAGTGCCGCTTCAGTCTCACTCTAACTTTGGTTCCTGATAGTTGTTGATAAAACAAACGGAAAAACTTCCGCCCCAGCGTTGTGTCGCAGCTGCTGTAGTATTATTATCTATATCAAACGTAAATAAGCGATAAATAAAAATGGTGAGTAAATTTGGCATACATAAGAACTCGCCAACTAGACCAATTAAAAATCTTGCAATAGCCAACAAAAACGTGACCATGTGGCGGCCGTTCACACAAAAGCCCGATACGACCTTGAATTGTTTTGCTAATGTAATCCTGTTCATAGCAAAAATAACTGCACACAAACACACATACATATACATACATACACACATATACCGTAATCAATAACAAGACAGACCGATTATACTCGGTTAGCCGAAGATTAAATATCATACGACGACAATCAATATGAAAAGAGGTGATTGTGCCATTAAAATGTTTGATTTTCATATTATTATATCAAACTGGGAGTCTGCTGACACACTCTAACAGGCTCCACTGTTAGTGTAAATGTTAGGTTTATGTGTGTAGCTGATTCCTTCTGCTAGCGTATAACAATAACTACGCATTTTACCGGTTTGCGTTGACGTTTCGAAAACATGTTAAGCGATAACCAGTCCAACTCGACCAACGAAAGCGACAGCGCTGCATGAAACCAGTTGGCAGTTACCATTCCTGCTAGCAACTTCTCCCGCTATTCTCTGACTGGCTGTTTGGTTTATCAAGTGCTGACGTTGGTCTTTTTTGTAATCTGCGCAAAATGGTGCAATATACGGTAGACATTTAATCAAATGCCATTACCACATATATACTAATTAATAATCGGTATTCACTCACTGATTACAGCAAGAGACGTACCTGTACGATCCGAACGTGCTGCTTAAGCTCGACTTTCATCGCAGTCCAGCTAAATTTCAGCCATTCATCTCCGCCGCCAGCCCGGGCGAGTCGTGGCTGCAGGTGCGCCCGCTAAAAGATACGGATTATGATCGAGGTTTCCTGCAGTTACTCTCTCAGCTCACGAATGTGGGCAGCGTAACACGCACACAATTTCTGAGTACGTGCCGTCATTTCCATTATACTTCAAATTAACTTAATTAATTGGTAACTTTCAGCTCGTTTCTCGCAGATGAAGGCCAGCGGCGATTACTATGTGACGGTCATTGAGGATACGCGAAAGGGAGAGATTATTGGAGCCGCCTCGCTCATCATTGAGCGCAAATTTATACACAATTGTGCAGTGGTAGGTAAAATATCAAGCTGAATTATCATGCAATTCATATGACTTCTCTTTGCAGCGCGGACGTCTAGAGGATGTGGTAGTCAATGACACGTATCGAGGCAAGCAGCTGGGCAAGCTGTAAGTTGGGCAACTTAAACAATTTATGTTTCTTTTATAACCTTCGTTTCGTCACCAGCATTGTTGTTACCGTGTCGCTGCTGGCCGAACACCTGGGCTGCTATAAAATGTCGCTGGACTGCAAGGACAAGCTCATCAAGTTCTATGAAACACTGGGCTATGTGCTCATACCCGGCAACTCAAATTCTATGACCATACGTTACGATGAGGATACGCCAACATTGAAACGTAACTCTACATCGGCTGTCACTGGCGCCGCCGGCGATGCTTACCAAACTGTGAGCCTCGATTTTGCCTCTTGACAATTAGCCGCCAACGCTGCTCCAAAATCCAAGCTATAGATCATATACCATCTATAGCGACGAACTGCGCGAGGCGCAATGTAAACAGTTTATCAAATGGAAACATCTACAAAAGCTATCAGTTTATCCATTTGTTGCATTTATTTAAACATAAACAATTGCAAAAATTTCATTGCGCTTGGCGCGTGGATATTTGGACAGCGCTGGCAGGCGGTGGTGTCTCTGTGGTTTGTACCACAGCGACATACAAGTAGTTAATACATGGCCAAGACAACCGCAATTGGTTGTGCTCTATATATTTTTTAAATTCTTACAGAACTCACAATTTTACAATTTTTTCTCTCCTTTCTGCTACTGAATGTGGGCGGCGCCTGTTTGTTAAAAATATGAAAGGTCGTTGTTATAATGCCCTTCAAGAGCACGTTCATCAAGTAGCCATAATTTTGTACAAGTATATATAATTTAATTAATAATAAACAACAAATGCCAACAAGGTTTTATGTTCAATTCTTTGAAAGCTTTTCGGCACATAAAAATATTTGCAGCTAGACAACCTTTAGGCAATATGCTTAGAAAATTATGTTTAATTTTAGCATCACATTTAAACATTCAACACAACTTTAGTTGCTTTCGACTTAAGTGTAGGGTTCCTCTGGGTGTCAGGAAAAGGCACACAAGTGTCCACATTTGGGGCACTTAGAGTGCTTGGCAAAGTACTGTTGCAAATGGTCGATATGACCGCCATGGGAGCAGCCTTGACACCAGGCATACACGCCACGCACAATTAGATTACAGACAGTGCACTTAGCCGACTGCATAGACTTGCATTTGTCACAGTACCAGCCCACAGTGCCGCCCAGCGGTCGACCGCATTCCCCGCAATTGGTTGGCATGACCGTTGACTGTTGGTTTAATTGCTGCACAGAGCGCACCCAGGCGCGATTAATCACTTCGCAAGCTTCGTTCCACAGTTCATAGCGATGCAACTGATCCACATAGGTGTGAAACCAGTGCTCCTATCGGATAGTAACCAAACATTAATTTTAAATCCGAATACAGCTCTGTTGGTAGACTTACCACCACGGCATCTTCAATGGGTAGCAGCTGGCGTGCTTCACCCATAACAATCAGTATGGTCAAAGCTGTTTGCACATCGCCCACATCATTCTGCAGCATCAGGGCATCTACAACAAATTGATGAGGCTCCCACATGGGTATGGGAGGCACATGGCTCACCTTTAATATGCTCGGCACTTGTGGTGGCTAACAAGTTGAGAAAAATATTTATTTAGTGTACCAATCTATGGCAAATTCCTTACTCACCGGTGACTTTTCATGTTCAGATGCCTTGAGATCCAGCTGAGAACGAGCTGCTTGTACATCATGATGTAGTGCCGTGTCCGGTAATGCCAGCGCTTTTGTTAAGTCCGCGGGTCCGACATAAATAAACCCATTGCGTAATAGCTCAAAGTTATCAAACGTAATCTCACTAATGATTTGCGTCTCAGAGAGTATCACCGAACTAGTTGGAGGCGGATTTTGTTTGCCACCGACCACCAGCTCATCTCCATCCTCACTGGCATCAACTGCTTCATGCTGTGTCTCTTGGCTATTGCCATTTAACTCTTGGCCTTGATCATGTGGAGTCCAGTCGCTGGCCACCTGCGCTGCCCGGCGCGAAGTAATGGGATTCTTTTGGTTGGAGAACGAGGACCGATGCTCGAAAGGCGGCTCAAAATGTTTAGTGCCATAGAACAGCTTAATGAAGTTCCACAGTGTGGTTGCCTTAAAATACAACATTAACATTGTACCACATTAAATACTATTCTGTAGGGATAGCTAATAATCACAGACGACTGTGATATTTCTTACATTATATTTTCCATATTTCCTGGAGACTTCCGCATTGTGTTCGCACAGCTCCGCCAGTTTCTTGCCGCTCAGCAGCAGTTCTCGAGCACAGCCAATGAAGACTTCATGTACCCGCAGTTCTGTGGTGGTATCGTGCGCGGGAAATTCAGGGCCTGAGGCCATGTTCTACAAAAACTGGATATTGAAGTGGAATTTATATACTCAATTTTCAATCTGTTATTACCGTATTTTTGAGCATAAACATGTACATCTTGGAATGGTCCAGATGAAATTGAACGTTCCCTGGCATATTTGATTTTCGCCTACTTCTACGGGATTTGATCATGGTTATTATAGTAAATATTTCTGTATGCTTACTTACATAAAGTTTGTACTTTTGGTATTAGACAAGCCACTTGACTTAATTGCATATTCCTTGATTTTATTGGCAAACGATATGTCTCCATGTCTGCCCAAGCTGGCGCCCTGAGCATTAGCTTTCAGTGCCGGACGCGTGGCATCCTTGAACGCATGCTTATAAATGCTGGAGTCCTTGCTAGTAGAGAGCAAGCAATGCGAATCACTGCCCTGCCAAGCAATGCCTGTTGTGACGTTTGTGTGGTCGTTAAAGGAGGCAAAGGGTATATAGGGACGACGAATATCCCACACATGTACGCTGTAGTCCACAACAAGGGCGCAACTGGCTATGTGATACCTGTCCATATGGATTATTATTGTACTGCACATCGATTGATATTTATTCAGCTTACGTTCGCTCCGGGCGCCATTTAACACGGCCAACCACTGCGATTGTGTGTATAGTGTACTCCAAACTGGCACGTCCGTCCATGTTCCATACCTTGATCTGCTTATCCCTGCTACCGGTAGCCAGCCAATTTCGTGTGGGATGCCAATCGCACGTGTAGATGGGTCCACTGTGTGCCGTGAACTGCACCATGCACTTGTCCCACTTGCGCATGTCCCACAACTGAACGGTTCCATTCTCCGATACAGCAGAAAACACATTCGGCGAGTGCGGTGAAAACTTAAGATCGCGCACAGACTCAGAGTTGCTGAAATATGTATTCACGGACGTATCGCATCGGATGTCAAAACTCTTGATGGTGCCATCCTGTGAGCCAGATATCAAGATATTCGCTTCTGTACTATGAAATGTAACAGTGTGAGCGGTACGCTCGTGCTCATTGTAAACGAGCAGCTGCTTTTGCCGGCCAAACTTGGAAAGATCCCAAACGGAGACAACGCCATTGGTGGCTGCTGTGGCCAATATATTGCTATCCAAAGTGCTCCAAGCTACATCATTCGAGGAATAGCTGAGATTTTGATTTTTGCCGACGCGCATATTGCACACCTCCGTGAAGCCTTCAGTGTCAATCGAATAGACTTTGAGCACTGGGAGGAAACTTTTATTAATCTCACAAATTGAAACTCAGGAATGAGATTTTCACTTACAGCTACGTCCAGCAACTGCAATTTGATTATTTTCCTTGTTTAGGGCCAAGGCGTTGGCATGGCCCTCCAAGCAAATGCGTAGCGATACCGTGGAAGGATCCGCATCCTCCAGCGTATCAGGCATTTTGATAATATTTCAAATCGTTTATAAAACCCAAACCTTCGCTTGGACTAACTTGTTAAACAATAAAACCGAATTTAACATTAACGTAACCAATGCTATCAACAGCGAGCTTAACATAACGAAAACGTTGCTTAACCTTTAACAGCATTGCTCCTCATTAAACGAATGCTCCACATATGCATCAACATCTGTAGCAATAGTAGCAGCGCTGTATTATCACCAATCGACTGAAACAGATGGCTGGTGGCTTTGACAAAATCTCTGTTACATTAGAATTTTTCAAGCATTCGCACACAAAATGCCGGATATTAAAATAACACCATTAGGCGCCGGTCAGGATGTGGGCCGCAGCTGTTTGTTACTTTCGATGGGCGGTAAAAACATAATGCTCGACTGCGGCATGCATATGGGCTACAATGATGAAAGACGCTTTCCGGATTTCTCGTACATTGTGCCCGAAGGACCCATAACCAGCCACATTGATTGTGTGATCATATCACACTTTCATCTTGGTGAGTAATAACTAATTTCTATCAATTCTCAATACACTTTTAATTAAATCCTATATACTTAGATCACTGCGGTGCCCTGCCCTATATGTCGGAGATAGTGGGCTACACTGGCCCCATATACATGACTCATCCGACCAAGGCTATTGCACCTATCCTACTTGAAGATATGAGAAAAGTGGCTGTTGAACGAAAGGGCGAATCGAATTTTTTTACCACACAAATGATCAAGGATTGCATGAAGAAGGTAATCCCCGTCACATTACATCAGAGCATGATGGTGGATACAGATCTGGAGATCAAGGCCTACTATGCGGGTCATGTGCTTGGTGCCGCAATGTTTTGGATTAAAGTTGGCTCCCAAAGTGTTGTATACACCGGTGATTACAATATGACGCCGGATCGGCATTTGGGCGCTGCCTGGATTGACAAATGCCGACCGGATTTGCTTATAACAGAAAGCACATACGCCACAACAATACGAGATTCCAAGCGCTGTAGGGAAAGAGATTTCCTAAAGAAAGTGCACGAATGCGTTTCAAAAGGCGGGAAAGTCTTGATACCTGTCTTTGCCCTGGGACGTGCGCAGGAGCTTTGCATTCTGCTAGAGACATATTGGGAACGCATGAACCTTAAGTATCCCATCTACTTTGCACTGGGCCTCACTGAGAAAGCGAATACATACTACAAAATGTTCATCACTTGGACAAATCAAAAGATCCGCAAGACGTTTGTGCATCGAAACATGTTCGATTTTAAGCACATAAAACCCTTCGATAAGGCGTATATAGATAACCCAGGGGCAATGGTTGTCTTTGCCACACCTGGCATGCTGCACGCCGGTCTTTCGCTGCAAATCTTCAAGAAATGGGCGCCCAATGAAAACAATATGGTCATAATGCCCGGATACTGTGTGCAGGGTACTGTGGGTAACAAGATTTTAGGTGGCGCCAAAAAAGTCGAATTCGAGAATCGTCAGGTCGTAGAGGTGAAAATGGCGGTGGAATACATGAGTTTTTCGGCTCATGCCGATGCCAAGGGTAATATTGATAAATACGTCAAAAAGACATAAAAACTAATATTTTATTCATTTTAGGTATCATGCAGCTAATCCAGAACTGTGAACCCAAGCACGTTATGCTTGTGCACGGTGAGGCGGAGAAGATGAAATTCCTGCGCGCCAAAATTCGAGACGAGTTTAATTTGGAAACATATATGCCAGCCAATGGTGAGACCTGTGTAATCTCCACACCCGTCAAAATACCCGTGGATGCATCCATTTCATTGCTGAAAGCGGAGGCCCGCTCCTACAATGCCCAACCGCCGGATCCAAAGCGCCGTCGCCTCATACATGGTGTCCTAGTGATGAAAGACAATCGCATTATGCTACAAAATCTGACCGATGCACTCAAAGAGATCGGAATCAATCGACATGTGATGCGCTTCACATCAAAGGTCAAAATGGATGATCCAGGACCAAAGTTGCGTACCAGCGAAAAGCTGAAAACGCTGCTGGAAGAGAAACTAGTTGGTTGGACCGTGATGCTGCAGGATAGTGGCATCATAACCATAGAAACCGTTGAGATCAATGTGGAGGAGGACGAAAAGGATCCCAAGCAAAAGACTATACTGATCACTTGGACTAACCAAGATGAAGACATTGGCGCTTATATACTGAATGTACTGCAGAATATGTGCTAGAATCAGTTAAAGGCAAAAGCGGCCTCTTCTTTAATCAGGCCTTAACGTGTTCAGCACGATTCCATAGCTTATAAGCAAAAAAAGTTGATTGTAATTATGGTTTTTGAAGTTATCTAAAATACATTTAACAACTATTTTGAAAACGATAATTAAATTTAAGATTTCCACATCCATGTTACACTTTCAGAGAATTAGGAGAAGACTGCATTAACTTGTAACTTGAAATAATGAACACTTTCTTTACAATCTTATTGAACAGTTCCTTTGCAATCTATAAAACATATTTAGGAACAAATGAACAAAATTGAAATACCAAATACATAAAAATTAACAAAAATAATTTAACTGTATAGATTCAACTAAAAATTCGATTATTTCGTTCCACGCTATTTATTCTGGTTTTTATCTCAGATAATTATAAGTTTTATATCATTTAATACGCAGCTATGGCGTTTTCGAATCTTCGTAATGTTGCAATTAGGTTTGATGAATTCGTTCAAGCTAAAGCTGCGACTTAAACTGGAGTGTGTTACGAGTACACTTCTTATGTTAGGGCAGCGGCACCAGAGATGATTTCAATCAACTCGCGAGTGATGACAGCCTGTCGGGTGCGGTTGAATGTGAGGGTCAGTTTCTCAATCATTTCACCGGCGTTCTTCGAGGCATTGTCCATGGCAGTCATGCGGGACGATTGCTCAGAGCAAGCGCCCTCCTTCATGGTGTAGAAGATGAGCGAGGCCAGAGAAAACTCCAAATAGCTCTTCACGACATCGCTGTCAAGCGAATCGTAAACGGACAGCTTCTCCGACTTCTCCACAGTGGGGCCACTGTAGATGGGCAACGTGGAGCACTTGTACGAAACCACAGACTTGAACTGGTTGTACACGATCTTGCCCTCGGTATAATCGTAACCAGCCGTCAATACCTCATGCGCAATCTTGGACGCATCCAGGAAAGTGGGGGGCAGACGGCCAACTTCGTTAGCCACCATCAGGATGTTCTTACCGTACAGACGGGACAGAATAGCACGCGACTTGTCGCCAACGCAGAACACCATGGTGTTGGTATCATCCTTCTGCAGCTCGCCACGGATTAGACGTGCAACACCGGTGTGCACGGCACCGCAAAGGCCACGATCCGATGTTACGGCAATAAGAAGCTTCTTGGGCTCGGTAGCTCCATCAGCCTGGAGTTCGGTCTTCTCAAAAAATTGTTGAGCACCGATACCATAGGGGCGCGCAGCCTTTAAATCACGCTCAGCCCGGGAGTATTTGGCCGCGGACACCATTTTCATTGATTGCGTAATTTTTTGGATGTTCTTTACGGATTTGAGGCGCATGGAAATATGCTTCAATGTGGCCATACCACGTTGCTGTTGGGCAACATTGGTGGCTTCAACAGCCATTGGCAGCAAAAGCGTAGTACGTTGCATCATCATCCTGTGAGCTGTTGAAGTTCCTGCACAAGAAATTAGCACAAAAGTTGCCTCAACGTACAGCGAAAATTTACCTGCGTGAAGTTGGCTGCGAGACGAATGTTATAACACAGATCGGTGTTGCCACATTGAGCAACTGTCAATTGTTCGCTGTGAGTGTCAGCAACTGCTGCGAATTGCAAACGCTTAACACTTCAATACTATGAACAAATAAAAATTTTAGCAACACATAATATTAAAATTGTTGATTAAGTTTTATTTTAAACCATTTATTATTTAATTAATCTGCTAAATTGTTTTAATTATTATGTGAATATTAATTAATGAATCGATAACATTTCACTAAGTCAGCTGCTCAACTACTCGATTATGCACCACCAGTTCGCGTGTCATCACTAAAGTAACCAAAAGCAAGAAGAAGCAAAAAGCTGACGTACTCGGGAAAAAGTTTAGAATTAATTAAGCAATTAATACACGTTAGACGCAACGCAGTAGTTAATAATGTAATATAGTGCAAAAATAAACGCGTTAGTCTTTAATTTTTCATTAAGCCCAAATACCGTACGATTTGCAAAACACTAGAGTATGTTGGAAAATTGTTGCTGCTGTGCATAGGAAGCCCAACAACAAAAGTAGAAGTCAGACGAGTTGATGATAAGACTCTTGAATGTGCAGATAAATCATAAGTACAAATATCCGACACGTTAACAGCTGGCATAAACACAAAAGGAATACGATAAATGCAAACGTCTGAAAAGTATGTAGCAGGCAATGGTGGTGGTGGTGTACACGCATTAACGTTAACGTCTCTATCTCTCTCGGCAGCGCCTCTCTTCTACTGCCTTAAACAATAGTCAACAGCAACACAGACAGCAACAGCTGTGTGTGTGCGCGCGTGTGTGTGTGGGTGTCTGTGTTGTCGCATTTTGTGTGTTTGTCGGACGTAACAAAATATTGAGCCGTCGAGCAAAACACATGATGTGGTCGTTCTTCTCGCGCGACTCTTCCAAAGACTTTCCATATGACATTGGCGAACCCGTCGCTGGCTTTGATAACTATTCCATATGGACATTGCACAAGGCCAAACGCAAAGGTACCCTAGAGGAGGTCTCGGTCTTTGTCTATGATATACGCAGTGGATCTGATACGAAATGTGAGCTGGCCAAGGCGTCGCTAAAACGCCTCAAAACGTTGCGTCATCCGAGTATACTGCAATATCTGGACTCACTGGAAACGGATAAGATGCTATATGTGGCCACCGAAGCCGTGGAACCGCTGGGCACATATTTCACCAAACTAGCCACAGACAATTTACAAAAAGGCCTTTATTTGGCTTGGGGAATCTTTCAAATCACGGCAAGTCAAATAACGTATACAGTTGCAGACATAAAATAACAAATTATTCATTTTATTTATAGCGTGCTCTCTCCTTTCTTAATAACGATGGTAATTTGCGGCACAACAATGTCTCTGCCTGGTCGGTCTTCGTTAATTCATCCGGCGAATGGAAGCTGGGCAGCCTGGAGTACGTCGCTGCTGCTGATGGTAACCCCATGCCGCCTATGAAAATACCCGTTACGCTAGAGGTCTATGATGCACCTGAGAAGAATGATCAGACAAAACTCAAAGCTGCTACCAAGTGGTATACACAGTCTATATATTTACGTTCCATCACATATTTAATTCCACAAATTTCCTTTCAATAGCTCTGTGGACATGTGGGGTCTGGGATGTCTCGTTTGGGAGGCCTTTAATGGCGTACTAAAGCAGCGATCCAATCTAAAAGACATCGAACACATACCCAAATCACTGCAATCTCTATATTGCGAGCTAGTTGGCGCATCACCTTCAAATCGGCCCAATCCAGCTGATATTATAACGCGTTGTCGTAAACCAGGCGGTTTCTTTAAAAACGATTTAGTCGACACACTGCTCTTCCTTGAAGAAATTCAAATCAAAGATAAAGCGGAAAAGAATCGTTTCTTTAGCGGTCTGACCACGCATCTGGAAAACTTTCCGGATAATGTTTGTAAACACAAAATACTTCCACAGCTGATAACAGCTTACGAATATGGCGATGCTGGCTCAGCGGTACTGGCGCCCATGTTTAAGGTGCAGTAACTATTATTAACCTGTATTGAAGCAAGACATAAACAATTTGTTTTTAATCCCTATTTAGCTTGGCAAACTGTTGGACGAGGTGGAGTACCAGAAACGTATTGTACCCTGTGTGGTAAAGCTCTTTGCTTCGACAGATCGTGTGACCCGTTCTCGTCTGCTGCAGCAATTGGATCTGTTTATTGCGCATTTGCAGCCGCCTGTGGTAAATGAGCAAATATTCCCCCAAGTGGCGCATGGCTTTCTGGATACAAACGCCACTATTCGCGAGCAGACAGTCAAATCCATTATTCACTTGGCTCCCAAGCTGAACTACAATAATCTCAATGTGGAGGTGTTACGCCATTTTGCTCGGCTACAAGCGCGCGATGATCAGGGTGGCATACGTACCAATACAACAGTTTGCCTGGGCAAGATTGCACCACATCTGCATCCGCAGGTGCGCCAGCGTGTTCTCGTCTCGGCCTTTATACGTGCCATGAGGGATCCTTTTCCACCAGCTCGTGTTGCTGGCGTTTTGGCTCTGGCAGCTACTCAGCAATACTTTTTGCTTAGTGAGGTGGCCAATCGTGTCTTACCATCGTTGTGTTCCCTGAGTGTTGATCCAGAGAAAACTGTACGAGATCCGGCCTTTAAAACAATACGTGGATTTTTGGGCAAACTCGAGAAGGTCTCCGAGGATCCCAGTCTGCGTGAAACAATGGGTAAGCTGTACACACATAACACAAGTTAAAATGCCAAACTAACACATTGAATTGCAGAAGCGGATGTTCATACCGCCACGCCTTCAATTGGCAATGCAGCAGCCACCTGGGCGGGCTGGGCAGTTACCGCCGTGACAGCCAAGTTCTATCGCAGTCAAAGCGATTCGTCCAGACCCAGACCGCCATTAACAGGTCGGAATCTATCGAAACCAGCGTCGTTGGGTAAGTTTTGTCAAAATTTCATAATGGAACTGGGTAACAAAATTTACTTTATTTGATACAGAGCAACCATCGAGTAGCAGCCTGTCGACCACTACAAGTAGCGTTACATCCATGACATCATTGGAGCACGAAAGTAACGATACCTCCGCCTCAGCCTCTGACTATGGCAACAACGATTGGGATAATGAGAACTGGGGTGAAATGGATGTAAGTTTGATTTAAAAGAGTATCCCAACTATCATTATATATATAAATTGTTTGTTCAGACGTCACAGGATCCCAGCAGTCCGCTGGCAGCTAGCTCTAATAATGGTCAACTGATAACAACCAATCCGCTAAATGAAGTGCGCGATGGCTGGGACAACGAGGAATGGGGTAGTCTGGAAGAGGATCCGGTAAGCCAATAAAACCAATTTGAAATACCTTGAAGTCAAATTCATGTTGTAACACACTTTTCTAGTGCGAGGAGGAGGAACAAGCGGAGCAGGAGCAGCAACAGCAACAGTTGGCCAGACAATCGATTTCTTCAACGACATCATCTAGCCAGCAACAGCAGCGACCCTTGCTACCACATCAACATCAACAGCAGCTGCAACAGCATGAGCTCAACGATCTTATTGAGCCGCTGGCCAAACTTAATTCACACAACACCTTATCACCATCGCGGCAGCAACTGCGACCAAAGGAGCTGGCTAATCTGTCGAGCAGCGCTAACACTTCACCTACAACGCCGGGCGCATTGACCAATTGCAATAACATAAGCCCGCCAACATCGCATTTGAATAATTCAACGCATAATGCCAATTGGAACAGCGATTCCTGGGCCGATGGCGAATTCGAACCTCTAGACGAGCCCGGTTTAGGTGGGTTCGAACTATAGTATGTCCTAAGAGCCTACTTAAATACCTCTATCGTCTCTTTATTATAGGTAACAGTAAACTGGACGAAGCCCGTCGTAAACGCGAGGAAAAGAAGCTGCAGCGGCAGCGAGAACTGGAGGCGCGACGAGCGCAACGTGCAACTGGCCCACTAAAACTGGGCGCTAAAAAGCTTTAAAAGGATTTACAGATGAAAAACCAACAAACAAACAGCAAAAGTGCTTGCAATTTTTAGCATTGTATATTTATTAGCTCCTATTCCAAAAGAAAAACAAAACAAAACCAACTATAAGCCTAAAGTGTATGCATGTAATTTGTATAAACTCTGTGTACGTGTGTGCCTCTCTCGATGTGTGTGTGTGTGTGTTAAAATATGACTGCGTGTGAGTGTGTGTGTGTGCGCGCGAGTGTGCATTGAATGCCAACTCGATGTCTAAGTCTCCATTTCGATTTTTTGCCCCTAGGCGCAATAAAAATTTTCATACTTATATAAAATTGTCACGATATTATTTTAAGCATTTATCTAAATCCTCGTTAGTCTAATACATACATGTAAAACACACTATACTAAAAAAAAACAGAAAATAACATACTAGCTAGTAAATAATTTGCAATTTATAATGTATTAAACCCAATAACTATGGGATGTATGTGTGAGCGTATGATGCAAGTATGTGTATGCACTTTCACATGGACTCCGGCGGGATGTTTAAATAAATTTAAATGTATTTTGCACATATGTCAAGTATTTAGCCAGAGAAACCATGTACAGAGTGAAGTCCTTTTGGATCAGGTGGCACAGCTTAGCGTTAATCTCAGACACGTTTCAAAACTATTTGTATGACTAAGTATTTTCTATTCCACTTCCATTTTCATATGGTATGCATGTGTGCGTGTGTGTGTGTGTGTGTGCGTGTATGTGTTATCAACAGATCCTTTAATTATTTGCTCAGCCATTTTCAGAATTATAAGAAAAAAAATCAAATACAATTAATATTCCAGATCTTGACTTTTTAGGAACGCTGTAAACAAATTGTAATGCCATTTTTGCTGTCTGCATGCAGCGAAATTGATGGAAAACAAAATAACAATTGTGACTTTTAATAAATATATATATATATATTGTATTTTTATATAGTAAATACATAAACACATACAGAAAAACCGCAAGCAATTATGAAACGAAATAATTTGTAAGCTTTTTCGTATAACAATTTGTACGTAGTAAAAATTGCACCTGTTATTGCCTATGTTGCTCTATATAGGAACAAGATACCAAAACCAAAAAACAAAAAAAAAAACAAAAACCCAAATTTTTGGTAGCAACAATTTTTAAATGTGAATTTTCCCACTAACAGCACCAAGCGCAAGCCATTTTTTGCATGTCAAAGTTACATAAATGAAATAAATATATATATATACCTTACCTTACACATATATATATATATATATGTATATATATATGTTATATATATGTATATTAAAGCCTGTATATATTTAACATATATATCTATATTATATATATATATATACATATACGCCGATTTTTTCCAATACCTCAATATCAGTGTACAATTTTTCCATATATATTTTTTAATATTCAAAAAAAAAAAAAAACAAAACAATAACCGGAAGTGAAAAAACTAAAATCAGAAAATATAAAAAAAAAATGTTGAATTTTGAAAAAAATCTGATTGTTGTCATCGTCGCATCAGTTGTATATGAATTGGTACATATATTGCAATTTATCTAGCAAGAAAGTATTAAAGAAGAAAACAAAAGAAAACATTAAAGCTACCTAGTTCTAGATACCGAATATTTGTGGCATTCATTTTAAATAACATTTCTAGAAAATACAATTTTCAGAGCAACATAAAAATTAGTGAAAATGAAATTTATATGAAAACAAAAGAAAAACAAAAACAAAAAAAACGAAAAACTAACAAAACATGAAAATTCATTGTTTAGACAAATTTTAAAGACTGCAAAGAAATTCATTAAAAGTGGTAAATGATATATTAAAAGAAAAAAATAGGAAAAAAAACTAAAAAAATTTAAATTATTTAGTACTAATCATCAATAAAAATAAATTTTGAAAAATTTAACACATAAATTAATGGCAAATATTTGAATTAATGCAGAAGGGTTTTTATTACAGATAAGCAATGCATATATGTAAATATATATATTTTTATAGTATATATGTGAATGGGATATTAAGTAAGTTCTTTATTTTCGAATAATTTTCAGCGAAAATATCGCTCAAAATTGAAGTTTATTTTACATTCTTTAATTATAAACACAGAACTAATTTCTTAGGAATAGACATTGGGATGTCTAAGACTAAGCTTCAACTGTTGCTATGCTTATCTTAAATTAAAAAAAAAAACTTTATATTTTACTTAATTTCTTGAAGTTTAAACCTATAGAATGAAACCCTCTCTCAGGCAGCTTCTTAATATAAATTCACTTTAAAAACTTGACTTTCCTCCATTTGCTCTATTTATAGCATAACATATTTATACTATTTACATATGTAAAGCCCGCATCAAGTGTGTTTTAATTTTCTTCTTGTTTTTAATGGATTGGCACTTCGGTGCGGTCTTTTGTTCGGACAACGCTCAATGCAAATGGTCCGTCGATTCTGGAAATTGGTTTAACAACTGTTTCGCATTGTTTGCTAATTGCAACAATTAAACCAATGGCATTAACCGCTTCGTGTATTGTATTTAAATGTCTGTTTGGACAGCTGTTTTCCTTCGTTTTTTTTTTTCATTTTGTTTTTGCTGTTGTTGTTGTTGCCAGTGGCTCAAGGACCACTAAGATAGAGCTGAAAAGAAGTAGCCGCATAGATCACGCAGCTAGCAAACAGATATCGCGCTGTACGAATGCAATTAACAAGACTCACAGATGTTTCTTTATTTAAGCCTAAAACCATAACAAGAAAGCCCCCATTTGGCTTCTTCTTTCTGCTTATATTGCCATCTGTAATTCACTTTACTTAATCGACTCTAACTGCTTTGGGAAACGCTTTAAGTTTTAAAAAATCGTTACTGAACTAGAGTTTGACATCAAATTTTCTGCAAATATTTAAAGCCTACTTTTTGGATGTGCTCATGGATTAATATTTTACTATCTTATTAAGATATTTAGAAAGTCATCCTTGAGAAAATAAAAGAGATTTTGGGTTTACTAATCATTAGTAAATTTATTTTTTATGTTTTCTATGCTTTTAATAGATTTTGGGTAATAAGAAAAATACCAAATATTATTAAAGAAATTCGTGACTTAAATATACCCAGCCTGCTAATAGATTTTCATTTTATTTCATAGATAAGTTGTAAGACAGCTGAGTTTTACTATCAATATAAAAGCTTTAGAGTTTTGGATTTATAAATTATATTTAAATATGTGTATACCAAGAACCAAAGCTATTGGCTTCTGATATGTGCTAGTAAGGGTATCTAAAAAGGAAAAATATTTCTTTCAACAAGTCAGAGGATTATCAATAAATATCTTTAAAAAATATATCGTATATTATAATATTATTTCTGCAATCCAAATTCCTGCTTGTCTCTGATGCAACGATATATATCGATTCTCATTAAACAGTCAAAGCTATCCATAAGTAATGAGATCAGTTGAGTTGAAGAGCATATGAATATTTGTATATAAAAATCGATTGATCTGTCTCGTTCTCAGAGCTCTCTACCGCCTCTGCCGCCAGACTCTGCCCCCCCGCTGCCTCTCTATGCCCTCGCGCAGCTTCAATATAATCACCGATATATTTTAACACAGCTTAAAATATTTACAGATTAGCATAAGCTGAAGAGCGATAACAAGGGCAATTGGCAAGTGTCGTGTCCGCCACTTAAGACCCCTCGTCTTATGCCATATGCGAGCTGTTCAATTATATCAGATCACTTCATGCCGTCCCGTCACGCCATTCGTTTGGGCGCTCCACTTACTTATTTATAGGTACGACCAGGCCGGGCCGAGTCGAGCCGACTCGAGACGCAAACTCTGTACTAATTTGATTTGCTGCACTTCTCACGCGCTCGTTTTGGCTGCACTTGAATTTGGATTTGGATTGGCTTGGAGCTGCCCTTGCCATGAGTCAATCACTCACACAGCGAGTTCTGCTGGCACCAGCATTGCGCTAGTTCAGCGTGACTAACTAGACGATACCCTGTGCGCAGATTGAAGTTATTTGACCGACCTACAGACTATAACAACTTTCTAGTTTTGGTACGATTTTAGGGTTGTTTAAGCTCAGTCAAATATATAAATATATGACAAACATAAAGACTACGATTTATATACAGACTTTACATGGCGATTATAATGTTTAATGTGAGAAAGCCCTATATATTAGCTTTAAAATAAGTAAAACACATAAATCGATAATTATCGATATATTCTCATCATGATTAGATAAGCTCAACTCTAGATGCTGCTTCATTTATACCTGTGCACTGGGGCACCTGTTAGCCATTAGCCCATACGACCGGCGGAAGGCACACTCAATGGGTGTAGAGCGTGAAATAGTTTCGTTTGGCAAAACAAAAAACAACGAAAATGTCTTTGGAGTGTATTTTTAGTTGCTGAAATCATTGCTAAGAACACTTTCAACAGTCCAAGGCAGAGGCGGGACTATGAGGGAGGTTTGTTTGGTTGACAAGCAACAACAATTGCAATAATCACAGCATTAACAACAATGCAGCACGGAGTGCATTACTCATACGCCCGCCCAGCCTAACCAGCTAGAGAGAGTGAGAAAGAGAGAGGTAGAGGGAGAAGGAGGAAGAGATCGCGTGTTTAATGTGTGTGTTTCAGAAAATGAAGCGAGCTGCCGTGATATTGTCGTAATCGTATAATTAAATGTTGTCGGATCGTGATAAAGCCGTGCAAATATTGAGATCATTATGTTAATGCCTAACCAACTAAGCCAACCAACCCACCGCCAGCCCTCCAGCTACCAAGGCACCAAACCGAGACGAGCGGCTTCTTGGCCACATCAAATGCCACCCATTTTTGCGCTTATTAAACTTGAAATATTATTGTAGATGTTGTCGCTGTTAGTGTTTGTTTGTTTTTGTCACCGACGCGGTTAATTTGGCACGCAGGTGTGCGACAACAACAACAAAAACAACAACAACAGCAGCGGCAGCAGCAAATCTACTAAATGCACAACATTCACATAATTTTCTCGC